ACATACATACATACTTACATGCATATACACATTCCAACATGCATTCAATAGCAGCAGCTGAAGCTAAATTTTGTTCATTTTTTGTTTTCTAATTATTTTCAATTTCTGTATAAACAAGTTTAGATATAAATTTCTAAACTTTATTGTTTTTATATTGGCACAAGGAGCTGGCTCATAACTTGGCTCATATATGAATCCTAAAAGATTCATATAAGAGTAAAAAATTTTTTGTTTTTGAAACTCATATTTCTTACCTACCTAGGACACCTTTCGGACTCATATATTCTGAACGCTCAGAATATGTTTGCGGGGTATGTACATATTCAAAAATGTACAAGTAATTTTTAAGCAAAAAACAAAACCGACTTCAATTTTCATATAAAAATTTAGGAGTACCGTTATTTTTTCATGATCCAATGATCGGATCTAAACCAGATTAGTATGGGACCACCTCTAAGACTATCTTTCCGATGCAAAAAGAATTTTCGAAATCGATTGACGTGGTCCAAATTTATGCGGTAACATACACAAAAAAAATATATTCCGACGAAATATGTAAATATGTGCAAGTTTCAATGTACCTTGCTTAGGTAAATTGAAGTAGCCTCTCAAGTAGTAATTCAATAGCTGTGACGTAACTGAGGGAAAGGAAAAATATATAAAAAAAATCTATAAAAATCACTGTCATGGTGTAAGCTTTTGCGGTTCTTAATGAGCTCTGAGCAGATCAAGCAAACATATATACATACTGTCCATATGTACGTACATGGGTATGTACATTATTACCTACAATTTATGTAACTGCGTTTCTCTATTAAAACATGCGATACGATTACAACGCAATACTCCCATATTTATATACATTAGGGTGGTCCAAACATTAACTGCGGGGTAAGGAAAATTTTTCTAAATAGAGAAAATTAATACCCGTATTTTTTATAAAAAAAAATAATTATACTTAGAACTGCCTCAAAGGCAATGAAGTTTTCCATGTAAATTCCAAAAACAAAAATGCAAAAATGCACAAAAAATTAATATATTCGCAAAACTATGGGTAAATAATAGTAAAACTGCATACTTAGTTGTCTCTCTGACGTCAGGATTTTTCAAAAAGGACTTTGAAATCTTAAAAATATGATTACTTCAAAAAATTATTTAAAATNAAAAATATGATTACTTCAAATAATTATTTAAAACTTCAGTGCAATGTAGGATAACAATAAGTGTATCATATATGTAAAAGAAATAATTCTGTAGAATTATAACAGAATAAAGTTTTTGGTGCGTACGGGCGAATAGGTATGGAAAATGTCCTTTACAAATTTTGTCCTTAAATATCCTTGACAATTTGCAATATGTTTTTTGAAAAAAAAAAAAAAAAATCGTTCTGCAAACTTTTTTACCTTAGCAAGATGAAATGTATTAAAAGCGTATTTTCAATACCTATTCGTCCTTGTAAACCAACGAACTTTATTGGTTTGATTTCTACAGAACTTTATCTCTCATTTGGTACCCATATTGTTATTCTACATTGCACTGAATTTTTAAATAATTTTTTGAACTAATCATATCTTTAAAATTTCAAAGTCCTTTGGAAAAAAAATCTTGACATCAGAGTGAAAAACTAAAAACACACTTTTACTGTATTTGGCCCATAGTTTCGTGTGTATATGGATTCTTTCATGTGTTTTGATTTTTTTTTGTTTTTGCCGCACGGTGTTATCGGAAGTCTCCTGAAGAGAAATAGAGTTTTCCGATCGGAAAATATTGATTTTCAAAAATTCTATACCATTTCCACGAAAAAGTGTTTTTCCCCATATAAAATACATGCACAACTTTGTGGGTTTTAGGGCAGTTTCTATTTAGAAAAATGCTAGTGGATGGGAGCTTAACATTTAAATTTTTTTTTTTTTTTACCAACCTAATGTACATGCATGCCTACATAAGGTTGCGATAATGTAAATAGGGAAGAGGCACTTTAGCAAGTTTTGCCTATTTTTCTTTGCTAATACAATCGACAAATTTTTACAAATCTTGTTCCAAATTTTAAACTTTTTGATCAGATTTTTTAGAATTTTTTTTTAAGTACGCAGCTCTGTAGCCCATAAAATTTTAGTATAATAAAGTTCAAGTTTGAAGTAGCTAGGACTTACCATTGATTTTTGGCAATTTTTTGGTATGGAGGTAATGAGCAGCACCTTCCACCAAAAAAAAGTGAAAAATTAAAGGTAAGTTCTAGCTACTTAAAATTTCCACTATATTATACAAAAATGAGCTAAAAAACTGCATACTCACAATATTTCTAAGAAATCTAACTAAAACGCTTAAAATTTTGATAAAACTTTGTCGAATTTTGCTAATTTTCACTTATATGGTTTTTATTAGATAACGCGCTACACCATACAATTTAAAAAATAATAAACAATAAATAATCGAAACGGAAATTACCAAAGAACGCCAAAATGTCTCTTCCCTATTTATATTTTCGACACTGTGAGTATATACGCAATGACGTCGTAGATAATTATTTTATCGAACCGGAGCAGATACATATTTCTTATAAGAATATGTGCGTTCAAACATACATACATGATACGTGATATTTAGTGCC